TTTTAAGAAATACTGGGGCACTGGGGGAAAAAAGAATTTGATGTTTCCCCAAATGCCCCATACACAAAAATCAAAAAGTTTCAGTTTTTTACCATTTAATTGATAATCGGTGAAACCAAACAGTTATTCATTTTTCCTCATATGCAATAAACACTAATACCTATGTAACTCTGATGTAATGACATTTTATCAATAAACACTCACAGAGCGAAACACAGCCCAAGAAAATAAAAATATAACTGAAACTAAATTGGTATGTGCGGGACACCTTATAAGAGGAATACGTGTGGTTATTGACTTTACGTGGGCCAGATGAAAATAAAACAGTTCATATGATGTTGTGAATTTACATTGCAGTGGGATGTGTGTTTATTAATTTTAGTTTTGGGGGAGATGTGAACTCTCGTAAGACTCTTATGTCATACTTTTTACATCAACAAACCATGTTTCAAGAATGACAAAAACACATTATAACATCTTGTATTTAAAAATACTTATTTTGTTGGTTCTGAAACCAGAAAAGGCAAAACGTGAAAGCAACATTCAATAAAATCATATCACACCTGTAGTGATCTATATGAAACTGATACAATTTTTAAGGCCCAATCCATATATTACACAGTAATTGTTTAGCGAAAGTATTCATAACTAACGTTTATGAATTGACACTGGCATTTATGGTGTGGTAGATTAATTATCCAAGCGAAGTAGTTCCCAGTGGGTGGTGGGTGACTTGGCAAGAGTTTTCGAGGAGTGAGTTTGTAATGTCTCCATTCTCCACAAGTTAGAAGTTACTTCCTTTTTCTAGACTGGGTAAATCCATCAAACAGGTGTTGTGCAATACTGTTGCAGCGAGAAAGAAAGAAACAAAGAACCGGACACGATCATACATGCATGGGACGTTGGTCTTGAAATGGAAATGGCGTTTTCCCGGAACTGGTCTGGCCTGTATCTGTTAAATAAAGAAAAGACTCCAAGGAAGTGGTTTCCCATCAAATGAGAAATTTATGGGGAAAACAATAGGACATTAGTGGGAAAAGGAGTGGAACCTTCAAATGTTATATGATTGAATTTGAGAGCTATATGTCTCCCTTCTAATAATACACGTTCCATTTCCGTTTTCCTCCATAGCAACCGAAGATGGGAGGGGAAGATTTCCGGTCAACCAATGGAAAAACCAGATATGACAACAACCACAGAGAAAAGACATATTTGATGTTGGAGAGTGGATTGGACTGAGAATAAAGCCCACGTTCATTACCCAGAATCATAAAAGGGTAAAAAAAATAATATAAAAGCCCACGTTCATTCTCACGCTCACGCCTCTCCTCTCCGATTTAATTCTACACAGGGAATCTCTTGTAGGGCTGTAAATGGAGCATATCTGATTCATTAAAAAAATCTGACCGATCTGAATTTGATGAGGATCTGTCAGATTTTTCAGAGCATGATTTGGATTATATTATCGGATATTTAATTCGAATAAAGTTATATTTATATTATGTAATATAAATTATATAATTATATAAATAGTACATAAAATATACATATATATATATAATATATAATATAACATTTCATACTTAACGGATCAAATCAGCCAATATCAGAATTCAATTTGTTAAGTTAAAGGATCGGTTTCTCCAATCCAATCCAATAATGTTGAATATCTGAATCCATGTCTTAACAGATCGGCATCGGATTTGGATTGAATCTGATCCGACTTATTTGCAGCTCTAATCGCATGTATCCGGAAATGAAACTGCTTTTCTTCTAGGTGGTGAAAAAAATCACTTGTTTATGCAAGTACATCTTTTATTTGAACTTTTTAAATGTTAGGTAGGAAGGACGGAAGAAATAAACCTGGTGGTGGGTTTGTATTGGATCGATTTGTTATTTTATGAATTTGATAATAAAATTACCCAAAATAATAGAAAGAATTGTACATATCTTTGTTACATTTATGACATTGAGCAGAAAACATATGTGATAAATAAAAAACCGTTGTAACACTGATTGGACTAATTCGGGTTTGCGCCTTATAGACCTAGCATATCTCATTGTCTTACACCAACCTTATAGTACATTGCATTGAAAACATTTCCGTGTGAATAATGACTTGTAAGTACGGAGATATTCGAGATATGCGGCTCCAAGTGCTGTGGGAGCAAATCCAAACTCTGATTGGACCTAGAAACCAATCCAAACTCTGATTAGGACCTAGAAACCCAGCCGGATGATACGTAGATATGCCAAACTAACTGACTCAACCATAGGTTAGAAACATTATTTGAACTTTCAAGCTCTGGTTTAAATTGTAGTGTCCAAAATCATGGGGTCATACCAGTGCTCCAGCTTTTGCCGGGGAAAACTTTGACTCTTTTGAAGAAACAGCCTGGGCTGATTGGGAGCTTCCTCTGCATGGTAAGTTGTCTTCTCAGTCCCCTCTTGGCTCTTGTCTTTTTTGTTTAAAAGAATTATCGAGGGCAATTACTATTTACCCCCACAACCATGATAGCGTGTCTTATCCAGAAATCTCTCTAACAGCCTGGCCTGTTCATTAGCAATACCCAGTGTTTTTCTGCTATTAATATTGGACACAGCCTGCGCCGTTCGCAGGGTCTCTCTCTCACACATCACACCTGACATTATGAGGACAAGTTAGTTCATACTTGATAGCCATGTGGGCAGGGCAGCAGAGGCTGTTTCTTCCTGCCATTGGAACATTATTGATTAGAAGTAGTAGTTTGAAATAATGTAATCTCGGTCGCCCGTGGCCATGCCAACCATTCAATCAACTGTATCCTTCCTTGATTGTTTGGTTGCTGCTCTTCTCAAATCCATATGCCATATTATGATGATGATGATGATGATATGAAGAGTCAAACGTGTCACAGGGAGAGATTAGATTGCATTTATGAGATTGAGATGGTTAAAGGAGACAGGATCATCTGGTTAGGTTAGGGCTTTGAGTAGCCCAAACCAAAAGTCCTCACTCCTCAGACAGGAGTTCCAGAGCGGAAGCCGTTCATCAGGTACGGTTGCTCCAATAGCCATCCCGACTTCTTGCATACAGCTAAGCAGCACCGCCCACACATGGGTTTAGAGTTTAGACCCCCTGCTAGCTGCTACTCTCTGGTCAACCTGGACCATATCGATATTCCTCATACTAATTATGTTTACCCTCCATTTTACATAAATTGATAATCCAAATTCCAACCTACCTCTACGCTCTACCTCACTTATGTGCTTCATTGCAGTTTGCAGGTCGGTCCCACTCAGCTCCTACACGGAAAGATGTTTGGCCACAACTCAGGATCAAAAGAGGGAAATTCCTTGGACAAAGGCGTCAGTGCCAAACGGTGCATCACCTGTAGCTAAGCTTACCCAGTTATCAAGAAAATAAAAGTAGGAGATAAGTAACTTTAGTCCCGTAACTATCTTCTGAGCTTTGGAACAAGCTTTTTACAGAGAGGATCACAGCCTCCGAGAGGATTTTGGGGTGGTGGGGGGGACCTATGAATGTTATAGGTTCTAATATTGACAAAGAATAAAGAAACAGGACAAACAAAAAATACAAACTCATTACTCACATTTTTCACCTACAAGTAGCCCATATTGTAACTCTGATCTTAAGGCTGTGACAGTGTGAGATCGATCACTCACGTTATCACAGTAGAAAGAAATAGGCAGTGTAGATCACCTCCATTAAAAGTTTTGGTTGAATTTAGCCTTAAAAAGGGTCCGTTGAAACTTCGAATTAAGGTATCATTCATTCATAATAGTATTCACATCCATTTTCTTCTGCCAAGAGTTGCTGACTATTTATTAACCATGCCATAATGAAAAAAAAAAAGTTATGTAGTCACTATCAGTGGTTCATCATCATCAATCCCATCTTCTACATACAGGGTTATGTTAATTTTCTTTATATTTTGATGATCAATCATCATCATCCATCACAGGGTTTGGGTCTGTTTGAATCTGAACACTTTTTCCTCCTTTTCTTTGTCAAGCTAGATGGGATAGGGTTTCAACTTTGAAATTTGAACCATTTATGGAGAGGACTATTGGTTGGCCCCATGCTCTTGATTTGAGAAGTATGGCTGATATGCTCTGCAATAAATGGTTTCCCATCGGACCCGTCAGGTCAGATATCCAGCCATTTCATTGCATTACTCCCTAATTCCAGACTCTTCAGTCTCAGCAGAGACAAATTATTTTTTTATTTTTAACACAAAGTAATTGATCTATCCTGATGATAACTCTCTCTCTCTCTCTCTCCCTGAGAGGAGTTGGGTTTGGTGGATGACCGATTCTGATTAGCCAGCCGGGTAACCTTTGAGAAGAAGGTGGAAGATAAGACAACTACGGTAACATTTACCCAGTAGACAGGGACCATCTATTGTGTAGGTCCTCCCAAAAGTAATTTTTTGATTTGAGTAGGCAATTCGAGTCAATTTAATTCGGGGGAAAAGGTTAGCCTAGTTGGGTCAATTAGGGTTTCCTTTTTTGTATGAGGACCACGTCTCCTTGACATCACGTCACGTGTAGGAAACATCTGGCAAGTTTTCATGGAATAACTTAAGTCCCCTCAGCTCTATTACTGTTTTCCCGGAATAACATAAAAGAAGTCAATGTGGCAAGAGTAAGAGTGTTTGGGGCCTTCGGTGTGATTTCGATTCGAAGCCAAGGAGCCTTTTGGGTCTCCACTCTCCAAGTTAAGTTGTCACGTGGAAGATTTCTGGATCTTGATTGTAATGGAGGGTGCCCACCGGTTCATCACTTGGTGGTAACCGACACTTTGGGATCAAGAGGCAGATCTAGACCCAAGAATTGATTGAGTGCCCAATCCTAATTAATTCCGTACCTTACCTGATGGTTTTGTCAAATTATCCATCCACGTGGCAAATACTAGGTTAATAAGGTTCTTCCCGTTTAAATATTCAATCTAGCGGATGTTTTGACGGGATGCAACCAGCAACCCGGACTACAGAGATTCAGTACGTTACGTGGTGTACAGAGGAGGAACCTGCGAGAAAGAGTGGAAATGATCGAGTGCACCGTGACAGACATACAACTAGCGAGTAGCAAGTAGACACCTCGAGTTTATGATATATAAATAAAGCTGAAAGCTTCTTCTCCCTCTGTCGTTGCTGAAACGCCTTTCTATTGTCCTTCGATATCAAAGACCGCCATCAAAACTCAAAAGAAAGAGAAGAGAGAGAGAGAGAGAGAGAGACGTAGGTAAACATGACCATCCCCAAACCATAAGCGGCCATGTCCAAACCCCCTGGCTTTCCCAAAACCAGGAAACAGGGCTTAAGTGGTTTACCAAAACCACCTAAGAACAACAATGTCGCTGTCGTCGTCGTTCATTTTGCCTTGATTTGCCTTGACCATAATGTCGCTGTCCCCCGACGAACACTCTGCTTGTAGCTTATACTGTGGCGAAGGGGAGGTAGCGTCCTGGGATACCGACACCTGGAACCCTGATCCCCGCACGAGCACTGGTTTACCGACCAACGACGATGACGATGAGGACAATGAGCATTTTATTGCGAGACTCATCAATTTGGAGCTCGATCACATGCCGGAATCCGACTATCTCCAACGCTTTCGCGATCGTTCGGTTGATGTCACCGCGCGACAGGACGCCATTAGCTGGATGCTGAAGGCATAATATTTGTCCGTCTAATAAGACTAATTTTGAATGTGATTTTAGTCTACTTGTTCCTTATCGATTTTGCCGTTTGGTTTTTCTCTCGCCACGCAGGTGCATGCGTACTACTGTTTCAGACCTCTAACGGCGTACCTCGCTGTCAATTATCTCGATCGTTTTCTATCCTCTCATACTCTGCCGGTACTTACTCTCCGTCCCCTGTTCTCTCTCGCCGGAAAGGTCGTTTTACATGTTAAAAAGAAATCTGACGCCTTTTTGTTTATTGTTCTGGGAAACAAACAGCACGGGAATGGATGGCCTTTGCAGCTGTTATCGGTGGCATGTGTCTCCCTAGCAGCAAAAATGGAGGAAACAAGCGTTCCACTCCTTTTAGACTTGCAGGTGTTGGAACCCAGATTCATGTTCGAGCCCAGAACAGTCCAACGAATGGAGCTCTTAGTCATGACCAATCTTAAATGGCGAATGCGCTCCGTTACGCCTTTTGATTTTGTAGATTATTTCGTCTCAAAGCTTCCTAGTTTCGTTCCCCGACACGCATTTCTCAGTCATGTTTCAGATCTTATTATCAGCACTACTCGAGGTACTCTCTCTCTCTCTCTCTCTCTCTGATAAAGTCTTCTATTTATCGAAATTGAATCTTTTCTGCAATTACCTTGGTTCGTTTTCTAAACTATTAATAAAAGCGCTAAATACTAAAGAATTCTATTGTGTTGCTGAATGTATGTGCATCAGTGACAGATTTCTTGAGCTATTCTCCATCGACGATAGCTGCCGCAGCCGTGCTTAGCGCCGCCGGGAAACGCGTGGATACTTCCGGTGATGATCGAGGGGTGGCATCTTTTGATGACAAAGTGGACAAAGTAATGTCTCGTGTTTAATTAAAGTCTTAAACCATTTTGTAAATGCGAGAGAAATCGTTAAATTAAAGTAAAACCTAAAAAATCTGAGGGTTGTTGTTTGGATATTGGTTACAGCAAATGCTGAGAAATTGTTACCAACTAATGGAGGAGTATCTGGTGGACACGTGTCCGATGGCTAGCCTTAAACACCGGAGAAGGGAACCCGCGCCTCCAAGTCCGATCGGCGTGCTGGATGCGGCTGCCTGTGCGAGTTGTGACACTCAAAGGTCTGGTGCAGACAATCCGGATCCCAGCCAAGCCGAGCCGCCGTATAAGCGCCACAAGCCATCACCGGTACCGTCGGATGTACAGCAGTTTTAGCCTACTGATTAGATAAGACTCCCCTGCTGCTCCCTTCTTTTTCTATTTATTTCTTTTTTCATTTTTTTTTCTGAACCGAAAAAAAAAAGAATGTGTTTTGGGCTTTTTTTCTAAAAATTTTGCGATGATGTAGATGTAGACGTTGACCATGTGGAACGGTTAAGATCGTAGGAGCTGGTGGTGGGGTATTTCTTTCTTTTTCTTTTGGTGGCCCATTTATTGGAATATATAAAAAAAAATTAATATGTATATTTTATTTTGATTGGTGTTTCAGACTCTATCACTTAAAAATGCAAGCATCTAAAAAATAATGTTGCAATGAAGCCAACTGTATTGCAATGATTGTTGCATGAAAAAGCACGAAATGTTAAACACTCAGGGACAAACAAACGCCCCCAGAATTTCATTACTACTAATATGCCCGTACTTATTCCAGCTACAAGTCTGGAACCTTTGGGGGTAGTTTTGTCATGTTGTTGAAAACGGCAGTAAGCATATAGGGGTAGTTTTGTCATATAAGTAAGGGTGTGGTATCTCGTATCTGGGTCCTCGACTCCTCTCCTCTCTCCTCTTTCGATGTATTCGTAAATCGCTGGTCACACACTCCCGCTATATTCTCTCTCTTCAAATTTCAGAAATATTTGGGACTCGACTCGAGAGTCGAGACCATCGGTTTCGGACCATATCTTTAGCTTCTTTTAGGAAACTGATAAATATATTATTATTATTATTATTAAAAGATTACTTTAACGAATCTAGTTGGGAAGTTTTCATACGACCATTTATCTTTGCCACGTGGAGGCATGAAATATTAAGTTAGCCACGTATTCAATCCTCAGTTCTTATTAACCGTGGAGGTATTTTGATTTTCGAGCATCGGAGCAGGAAGGTGTTTGCCTGTATGATTAACGCGTCTCTTGGCTAAGACAATTGCGGGAGAGACATATGAGAAAATATTATGACCGTTGAAACGGGATCACGTAGGCATGACGTACATTGACCACATATGATAAACGTGTAGGGTGTTGCGTGCGAGCCAGCCAGAGAAGCATACCGTGGCCGTCCCCTACAGGGAAATGTTGGAGTAATTGAGATACGTCTCGTGGAGGACAATAAGTGTCAAATCACCAGGAATTTGTACCTTTTAGAGGATTTATTGGGTAAATTTTTTAAACTACGGTTTAGTTTAAGTATATGCTTACTGTTTGAAAATTTGATCGATACTATTTTGACACTTGTCTAAACATTACCAAAATCGTTAAATATAGAGGAAAATATAAAATGACCACTCTTAAACTCAAACACTCGACCAATCAATCACTCATTTTAGGTTTTAACTCAAAACATTTGACCCCTCTCTCTCTTACACACTCCTTTCGATGAGAGCCACAAAATGTTTTAGTCTGAACTTGAGTGGAGAACGAACACCTTGGATGCGTGGGGTTATCGTTGCAACTCCCGGCAGTGCGACGGTGTTTTTGTCCAGGAGAAGTTAGTATGAACCTGAGTGGAGAACGAATACCATAGGGTGTGTGGGTTTCCACGAACCAGATTCTTCTTTTGGTTTTGCTTTCACCAAGAATCTCTGATAACTTTTACATGGGCATCTTCGACTTTGACGAGTTTGAGTATTTTATCAATCGGTGATTAAGGATCTGGAGAATGCGATGATGGCTGACAATGGGTGGCAGAACGGAGGAAGCGAAAGAGGAGGGGAGAGAGGAGAGAGAGGAGAGAGGAGAGAGGAGAGAGGAGAGAGGAGAGAGGAGAGAGGAGAGATAGTGTTTGAAAATGGAGTAGAGTGGGTGGTATTGGGAGCGGTGGAAAGAGATTGCAGCGGTGGTGGTAGAACTGAGGAAGTGAAAGAGGAGGGGAGAGAGAAAGTGAGAGATAATGTTTGAAAACGGTGCGGAGCGGTGATGTTGAAAGTGGTGGAAGGAGAAGTACCAAATCCGCCACTGCAACTTGCAACGACGGTGGGAGAACGAAGTGAAAGAGGAGGGGAGAGAGAAAGAGAGAGAAGGGGAGAGAGATGGTGTCTGAAAATGGCGTGGAGCGGTGGTGTTGGAAGCGGTGGAAGGAGAAGTACTAAATCCGCCGTTGCAACTTGCAGCGGTGGTGGCAGAACGAAGAGAAAGAGGAGGTGAGAGAGAAGGAGAGAGAGATGACTCGTTTGCCCCCTGTCCAAAGATGACTCATCTTCGACACTCACTTTTTCTCTGTTGAAGATGACTCGTCTTGCCCCTGTTCCCCCTCGCCCTGTAGAAATCTTCTCCCAACAAGGTATGGATTCAGTGACAGAAAAGTGTTGGAAAGTAAATGAATACTTATTTGTCTCTTGTATCCGATGTCTTTCTTGTATTCGAGTCAGACCTATCTGCCGGTGAGAACATTGCCACTGTTGGAGTTGTAGTGGCGACTGTAGATGAAAAAAATGAGAAAAATGAGAGGGAGGACACTGTCGGAAGATTAAAGACTTAAAAAAAAAAGAGAGAGAGAGAGAGAATGGAAATGGGCCAAAACATATATTGTCAGTAACTCGATTGTTTTCACTGTCAACCATCAAAATCCAAATTTGCTCCTTCGGTGTGAGGAAGGTGTTGCCGGTTAGAGGAAGGGGACGAGGGAGGGGTAATATTAGATTGTAAAAGAATTTTAACTCTCACATGATCTCGAGTGTATTTGGGTTTTGACAGAATATTAACAAATGTTAACTATAAAGGTAGAGTTAGTTAATTGTCAGAAATAATATGAATAGTGTTAGTCAATTTTTAAATAATAAGAAATTAACTAAATTAACTAAACCATAAAAGTAGTTTAAAAAGTTTACCCGATTTATTTCCTGAATTTGCCAAACAATTTTATTTGGACTGCTACAAGCCAGCCAACCGCTAGTGGAAATGAGTAGTCCGGATCTGCTCCTTGCACCGACCTCACATGCAAATTTTACCATGTATCGGGAACATCTCCTGTACTTCTATGTTATTATTCGTGAAAGATGTACCCAATGCATAGCGGGATTTGCGTGTGAGGTCGTGTAAGGTGCATTCTCTAACGAGCAGATCCCAATTTAAAAAAAAAAGATATCTATTATGCTTTTCCCCTCATTTTCCCTTGAATATACTTCTTCTAACCATTAGACTGCATTTGGAAGCAGTGTAAATACAAAAGCCTGTCGATGTGATCCAGATGTGTCAGTGTAAAAGGCGAATCATCCAAATGCACCTTTTACACTCTTTTGCGTTTGGAAGAACGGTGTAAACCAATGGTGAATATTTTATAAGCGTTTGGAGTGAAGAATGGGGTGAACTGGTGTCAGAGGCGATGGCATCTCTGATTGATGACTACATAAGGCCAATGGTGGATATGTTGGTGGAACGATGATCGAAGCTCAACCTGTCAACGAGTTGTGTCATCTCTCAGTGCTCTAGATTAGGGTTAGAAGAGTTGGATTTCAAAGAAGGGAAGCTGCTGCACATGGTCATCTCTCAATGTTCTAGATTAAGGTTGGACAAGTCTAAGATTTACATAAAAGGACCAGAAGAGAGAGAAAGAGAAGTGAAGGAAGAAGTACTACCTCTAATAGGAGGATGCTGGCGAAGAAGGTCGCATAGAGTTTTAAACCATGATGGAAACAATAAGGCGCCGATGAAGATTGAAACCACAACATTGATAGAGCAGTTTCTCTGGAGGAGGAAGAGAGACATTAGTTTTGCACCGATGGATAGAGTTTTACACCAATTTTTTCGATATAATTTTCACAACGATTCTCGACGTAAAAGTACGTTTTAATGGTCATTCACATCAACAATCATTCTTAGTTTACATCCCAACCAAACATATACAAAAGTGAATAGAGTGTAAAACTACACCGAACCAGGTTTTACACCGCAAATAAATGCAGCCTCTTAAGGTGTGTTTGATATGATAGAAACTTACGGAGAAAAGAAAATTAAGGGAGATTTTACAACAGATTTCGCAGACTTCTTTAAAATTTTCCCTCAAATTTTTTATTTTTCTTTTATTTTATATCAAACCAAACACAGCCTTACGTTGTGTTTGCCTTTCTTTCAAACCAAAGACAGCTTCAGGAGGCTGAGCTGAAAGATTCGGCTAAGTTGATTCAACTGTTTTGAAACATTCAGGATAAGCTATTTAGGCCATGTTTGGCGCAGATTAAAATGAGTGCTTATTGTGTATATGAAGCCAAAAGCACCGCCAAAATATTCTTGGTAAAAAAAAAAATGTAGTAAATGGACTTCTAGCTTCTTCTGTTTTTGAGAAGCGCTTCTTATTTTTCATCCCGTTTTTGTTCATTTAAAATGTTTTTAATATCGAAAATGTCCCATTCAACTCTAAATTAAACTATCACCCCATTTTCTTCGTCACTTTTTATTTTCATTTTCACTTCTCACCATTTGTAGTGATGATGAGCTACAATCAGGTTTGATTTCTATTATTTTTTGTTTTTCTTAAAAAATTGACTGAATATTGAATCCCACCACTCAATCTCACTCCTTTATTTTTTCTTCGTTTATTGTTGCTTTTTTTTTATTGGCAAGCACCCATTGTGAATCAAGCAATGTTGTCAAATAAGTGTTTTTTTTTCATTAGAAATAGCACCTTACCAAACACAGCCTTAAAAGAGGTTGAACCAAATGGCCATATAGATTATTAATGTAGGACCCATCTTAGATAGCCACACGCCTTTGCACATCAACCTCTCTAATGGGCATTTAGGCTCTGTTTGGAAGGAGTACAAATACAAATATGTACAATGCAAATATATACAAAATAATAGAAAATACAAGATTTTGCACCCTACATATTTGCATTTGTACTCCTTCCAAACTGAGCCTTAGGCTGTGTTTGGTTGCAGTGCAAATATATTTGCACTATTACAAATGCATGGGAGTGCAAATGTAAAAAATGCAATTTCTTGTTTAATTTTGTTTTGGATTTTACTTTATTCTGTTTCATGTTTTAATTTACTTCATTTGTACTGAAATCAAACAAAATAAGCTAAAATTTAAAACAAAAATAGGTCAGAATTTACACTCAAATCATTTGCACTGTCATGGTTTTGCATCAGTGCAAATTTATCACATTGCAACTAAACACAGCCTTAGGTCCTATTCATTTTTCAGATTTTGAAGGGGTGGGGGAAGTTAGTCAATGTAATTTTGGTTCCCATTGATCAGATATATCAAAATTCTTTTTTTTTTTAATTTGATATAGGGTCAAAATTATTTTCCCTATAAATCATTTAGTGACCCATTTTCAACATACAATGAAACAAAATTGCCCCTATTAATAATGATTTTTTATGAGTAAAATAATCATTATCTTATTTATCTAAAAATCAAAAGAACATGGGTTATTTAACTTATACAAGTTAGTTTATTTAACTAGATAAATGACCAAATGAAAAACAAAGGGAACCTTAATTCATTCTGAAGTAGTGTACCGTGAAGCTACATAATCAGGCAATGAGACTCGTTGAGTTTCGAGAATTGAATTTTTTCTAACAATGAAGGGTATCCACATTCAGCTATAAACCCCAACGCTAATGACAGTAGGAGTTTATAATCAGGACCAGCCAAAGATCTTACCAATTGAGACCACCTTCAAGTTCTCTTTTTTTTTCTTTTCTTTTGGCTCAGTTTAGAAGAAATATAAATACAAGTATATAGAGTGTAAAACCTTACATTTTGTATTATTTTATATGTATTTGTACTGTACATATTTACATTTGTACTCCTTCCAAACTGAACCTTTAGAATTTGATTATGATACCAAAAAAATCTTGTATAAAAGAAGTGAAAACATATCAAGTGATATTAATCAAAATTGAGTAATTGATTAGGGGTTTTTATTGGTCAACAACCTTCCAGTATCGTGTTTTTTGGCAATATAGTTTATCCACTGCAATCTTTTCGGTACCCGAAAGGTATAATAGCTACAAAAAATTACTTAATATTATACTTTATATTTTTATCTCACCCCACTTTGTCTCGACATAAACGGTAAACCCGCTCCACTCCATTCATAGGGTATGGTTGGTTCCCCGGGTGAAGTCAAGTCTGGTTGGATACAGTTTAAAGCATGGTTTTGAAATTTCGACAGTTGGGCAAGATGATCTGGGAGCTGATCAGCCAGCTGATTCCGTTTTACCTTAAAATCGTTTCTGAGAAAAAAAAAACTGTTGATTTGGTCAGTGATTTACTAATTTGAGCAATCGAACTATTGAATTATCGATTCGGACATGATTCTTGGCCTTTTTTATTTTAATTTTTTAAATCAGAACAAACCATTCATTTGAACTAGATGATTAGACCATGCCCAGGAATCAGTTTCTAAAATGGTTTCTTGTCCAGTCCGATTTTTAAAATATTCGATTACAATATATTTTGTTTAAAGAAAAATGTAGGGAAAAGAAAGGAAAGGAAATGAAATCTTTACAAATCTTGTATAGATTTTCCTGTGTTTCCCTTCCTTTCCCTATTTTTTCCTTCCAACCAAACATAGCCTTAAAGTTTAAACCGAACTTAACCCAAATCAGATCCCAATTCTAGTTGAGGTTAGAATTTTCGGCAAAAACGATTTATGTAGCTATGTAAGCCCCGTGGTCCAGGTTATCGTCGTAAAAGTGGGACCCATTTTCTCCATCCAATCAACAGTTCAACGCAACACTGTAAATCCAAGAGGAGAAACAAATTGCAAACAAGGAAAATATTGAAGAGGAAGAAGTTGAGAGTAATTAAGGAAAGGGGTAAGGGCTGTGAAACCTGAGCCGAGCCAAAACAAAAAGCACTAAAAAGTTCGTATTAGCAAAACTTAATGGCTGTATTAAGGGCTGTGTAAACCAATAATAACACCCCACATCAGCGTGGGGGCGCATATTATTGGTTACAGAGCTCTCAACACAGCCATGCAAGTGGAGAGCCCAGAGTCTCTAGGGCCTGCATTTTGGACAACAAATCAACAATGGTTTTAGAAAGGAACCAGTATGTTTTAGACAAAACTGCATTAACTAACTCTCTCCATGCTTCAGGTTGAGGCCATCACTTCTGAAGGAAGCTTCCTCTCAATTCTCTATGAAAGAAGGATGTGCACCTAGATTTCCGACCAGGCCATTAATCCGTTCAGCAACGTGCTCTGCATGTCTCGATCCCACCTGCATGTCCCCTATCCACCCCCATGCCCCTCCCCCTCCCCCACTCATTTGCCTTTTCAGATGTATATGTTTGTGGTTGAAGTCATTAAGGCATTTGTCAAGGTTTGGATCCTTCAAATTAAATGTCTCAAGATAGTAGGCATTTATATTTCACTTATCCAAAAAAAAAAGATGGTAGGCATTTAGTTCCTGTTATTCTCCTCTCTCTCTCTCTTCTTTTTTTTTTCCAGCTCTTTGAATCTGTCTCTGTTTTTGAGATACCTGCATTTTTATTTCCTGACAGCAATATATTTGAGTTACACCCTAATTACCTCCTTTCATTCCTACAACATCATGAACTTTGCTAGAGCTGTCAATGGATAGAGTCTTGCAAATAGAGCCAAACCAACCAATCCAATTATGTCGATCAGTTCTGGTTTTACGATTTTGTTGGGTCAGGACTTAATCTTATTGTTACGAATCAATCATATAGTTAATAATATATAAAGATCTTTTTTTGGCAATTTTATTAAATTTTATGTCGAAAGTGATAAATTTCATGAAAACACCTATTATTTTTATTGACATAAAAACAGTTTATTATACTGTTTTACTGTCAGTTTTGTTAAGATTATATATTATCAAAATAAAGTTTTAAGTTGTTATTATTATTGATAATTATAAATGACAAGTATTATCAGGTCTAATTGGATCAAACACACCCCCCCCACACACCCTAATTAATAAAAATCCTAACAAGACTAGTACATTCTGTCCCAAACCAGATCTGACCCGTCGATAGCTCTAAGTTTTAACCTGGGCGGCCTGTGGATACTAGATACAGATTAGCATCTATAAGCAACCTAGAAAATGAAAAGGAATAAATTTTCATTACGACAACAAAGCCATTAATTAATGTAAAGAGAGTAAAGACACATATGGGCAATTAAGTATGGCATATATAGATCAGACCTTGCCAAAGGAAATAGCTTGTTTGTCTTCTGTTGGGCTAATGTTGTAAAAGTGCTTTTGATAATCTTCCACCACCACCTTCTTGTATCCTTCGCCTTCCTTATCCGAGTCCTGATCCCTTACAGGCTCGAGCATGCATCGGAGTGGCGGATTATAGAAGAGTGCCACCGAGATCCTCTCTTTGTCCACCTGGGTCACAACGCGGTGCCAAGAGCTCTTTACCCTTCCATTGCTCATTATTTCTAGCAAATCTCCTACATTCACTAGCAATGCGTCATGAGGCCAAGGTATTTTGAACCACTGCTTGTCCTTGAGCGCTTCCAGTCCTCCCGGTGTGGAGTTGAATTGAAATAAGAGGGTCAGCCCACTGGCATCCGTGTGTGGGATAATGCCTAGTACTCGGTCTGGCCTTGGGCATGGTGGGTAGTAGTTGATTCTAATGTTCACCACGCTTTCTGTGGGTTCGAAGTTTTGGAGGAAGATGTGCCTTTCCAGACCCAGAGCTTCTGCTAATGCTTGAAGCAACTCATCGCAGAGCTTTCTTGCTTCCTCTACAAACTTCTCCATTATTTGCCTGCAACAAATCAAAAGTATGATTTACTTGTTGCATGCAGGGAAAATCAAATGAAAATACTATGTTTCCGTTTGTTTTTCAGGATGTTATTTACCCGGTTAAATGCATTTATCTGGGTAAGTGTTTTTTGAGAAATATTTATTTAGATTAATGCATTTATCCATGTTATTTTATTTTTCAGGTAAATGAAATAATGTCTGCTTTATCCATAACAATCTATTATTAAAAGGGGCAATTTTGTCCCATTCAAGTGTCGACAACTTTCCTCTTGTATGGAAAAGTTACTAATCCACATGAGAGATGTGTATCACTTGGAAAATAAATTTTTCATGGACCTTACATAAATCTGAAAAAAAATAAACTTGGGTATCTTTATCAGTGGGAAACAAAATCCCGTTGACCAACTTTCTCCCCTCTAACAATCCAAAAAAGTAAAACATCCCTTAAGTATTCTATTAAGAGATGCCTTCCCAGACCTCACTCTTGTCTTGTATGTAGGAACCATGACCGACGTTTGAAATAAGTCTAACTACTAGATTGCCTAGCATGTTTGGATGTTTGTTAACGATCAGAGCAGAAAATTGCTTTTGGAGCTTTCATAAAGTCACTTTCATTTTTCAAATTAAACATAAAAATGTAACTTAAGTACATGATCTTTACATACAAGATTAAAAGCAACATGTCCAGAATGAGTGCAGAAGAGATGGAGATATCAAGACAAATCACTGGTAATGGTAATTCTGTAGGAGAAATGGATGAACAAATGAGAGAAAGATGATATGGACATGCTCAGAGAAGATCATCTACTTTACCCATGAAAAGGAATGATCTGATAGTTGATACAAGATCAGGATTCCAGTAGAAACAAGGCATTGTGGGAAAAGACTATATACTACGGAATTGCAATTTAACAATATATATGTTCTAAAGCTGCGATTGGTTGCAGTGCCAATCTTGATTGGGTGCAAAATTTATACGGTTGTACCGGGTTCAGTTTTACTTTTTTTTTGTTTCAATGCAAAACAAGATATATATCCCTACCAGATACAAAATTTTTATTTTTTTCTCTCTTTTGCACTCCCTGGTAGTGCTAAATTTTCCATCCCAAAAGCTGGTGCAAAATTTGCACCACCTTCCTCCTTCCCCAAATCTTTCTCATAGTAAATTGGGACTACATCTTCTTGCATCCTACCTCACTCCTAAAAACCTAGACAAATTTCCCTCGTACCGCTTTTCTCTTTCATTTATTTTGGAGGTCATTCCATTTTACTTCTCACAAACATATAAGATGAAGTCAAATCTGAAGCAAAAATAAGCCAAAATTTGCACTCAAATGCATTTACACTTAGTGCAAATGAAATTTATACTGCAAATAAAATGATACTATCATTTTCCGGTAAATGGGGGCAGGTAAGTTGGTGGGTCCTGCATTAAAAAATTAAATCCACATTTGTGTTTTAGTATTAATGGGTCTCACAGAAAAGAATAATTGGTAAGCAGTTCAGTTACCTAGGTAAATAATACCCTCCTAAGACTTATGTAAATGACTTTCCTGTCTGCGTGAAAAATTACTAATGCATAATGGGACAATATTATCCCTTTAAATAATTATCTTTTTTTATGGATAAAATGGTCATTATATAACTTAGGAAGTAAATGAACATTGATGTAAATATTTCCTAAGAAATAATTGCTACTGTTATTTTTATCTAGTTTCAAATATTGTTATAGTAACAAGACCATACTGATTTTGTTTTTCTAAATTTTTGCAATTTTTTTAATTCAAAAAAGTGGAATACTCTTAAAAATAAAACAAGAAAAATTATTAAAAACTCCATTAAAATATATCCTAATCACTGAATTAACAAGATAGAGACAAACAAATAAAAAGAGAGCAGGACAATAGCCCTATGACAGAAAACAACCAACAAGTAAAGCATCAAAACACCACTCTTCCCTGAAACCCAAGGAACATTAAGAAGAAAAACATCATTAATTAGTAGCCTTGTGGACAAACCAACATGTCATATGAGAGTTGCCAGAGTAGCATGTGAGCTCCTCTGATATATTTTAGAAAAGAGATAGCTGTTTAACATTCCTATCAGCTAATAAACAGAGAATATGCTAACTGAGCCCCCACTAGCTTCTCAGTAGAGGATATACGGAAAACACTACTGCCACTTCTTTTCTAGAAATACATCTGGCAGGGTCAATTAATCAATTAAGTCGCATAATGTGGGACTCTAACTAATAGATATATGCACAACCTATGATTCAGGAAACAGTACTACTACCTTTGTCCTTGAATCTATTTTCAGCATTCAGCAACAGTAAACATAATAATTGTTGTCTGAATCAATCAAGGTTTTTAAAATCAGACCGAACAAGGAACCCTTTTGGGCCTGATTTCTGGGTCGAATGGTCTAACCATTCAGACCGAACAGACAGCCTGCTTTAACAATAAAATAGAAACAAAAAAAAAAGGATAAAAAACCATTGTTCGGGTCGATGGTTTGATTCATGGTTTTTAAAAACGAACTGATGACCGAACCGGTCAGGGGTCCAGTTACCGGTTCGAACGGTCTGACCATTCAACCCAAATGCTGGCCCATTCTCACAAAAAAAAATTAAAAAATTAAAAATTGGAAAACGGTTCGAGCGATTAACCAGCCGGTTCAATGGTTTGCTGACCAAAATCAACGGTTTTAGGGGAAAAAGCGGTTTTGGAGGAAAACAGAACGGTCAGGTGACCGATTCCTGGTTTCTGGTCTGACTGTCCGGTCCGGTCCGGTTTTGGAAACAGTGGTTCGATCACCCAAATCAACAGTTTTTACCCAAAAAGTAGTTTTGGGTGAAACGGATGTGTTCCCGGTTTTCCCGGTCGGGCTTTGAAAACACTGGGCTGAACATAACCATAGGGCTAAATTGCACCTGATCCCAACGCATTTCATTTTCTATCTTATTTAAAGGCAAAAAGTCTATGTTTAATTTCAGGCTTGAAATTTCAACCCAGAAAGATCAAGCAAAAGCATCAAAAGAGAGTCAAGAAGTAGTATACAATCTCTGTACAAATGAAAGAGAAAATTTCGATTTCGAGCATTTGTTCTACAAATGCCATTTTCTTCTAGCCATGTGGTTTACACGCGCAACATCAACCCAGAACAAGTGACGGCTGACTCTTTCTGAGAAACCCATAAACCAATGGCAAAACCAAAAACTCAAGAGGTTGGATAAAAGCACTAAACAGTACAAATTTGCACTGCTCATAACAATAATGAGACTACTATGGAGATAACTCCAAGCAATAATCTCTTCAACAAACAACTAAAACCACCAGATTCCACGATGAAGAAGACAGTTGAAACAGTAGGTAATTAACTTTGCTGGATGCAGCAGGGAAGCTGAGCAAATGAAGTAGTAGATATTTTGCAAGAGATGAGCTTAGAAGTCAGATGGGCACAGCGAGCTCAAGTTGACTATGTTACATAATGATATGGCGCATACACTTGTTACTTCTGCTTGCTTTGCTACTCAAGACTGGGATTTAAACTTCAAATTTTAATTAAATGAAAAACTATCTTTGCCCAAAAAATATGTACTTTTTCGCTTGGTAAAAAGTAAAATATGTACTTGAGGTCTTAACTTCTGTCTCTGCTTGCTCTCTTCAAGCAGGAATCTGATAAAATATCTTCATTACGAGGCAAAGAATTGCTGCAGGTAGCAGGTTTCTGCAACTGTTGAGGGTTTTTGTTTCTTTTTAATATTAAAGTACTTTCCCACAAAAATTTATTCTATGCGTAGGGTGGACAGAGAAATTTACATAAGATAGGCAGTCCTTTTTGGACTTCACACTCATAACACAGATTACTGGGTTGTTCCCTGAGCAACATATATAAATTGGGAAATAATTTTCTATTCTTTAACACTAGAATTTACGAGAGAGAGAGAGAGAGAGAGAGAGAGAGGACCTGAATCCAACCGGTTTTTGAGGCCAAACATGGATCCCTTCTGTGTCCTTCTTAGGAGAAGCCCTCATAGTAAGACGGTCTATCCAATCCAGCGGCTGGTCGTCCGATTTAACAAAGTTGCGTCCGTAACCCACGTTATCAACACTAGCATACGATTCAACACTCCCCTTCTTCTCCTGGAAAGACAGGCTAAAGAATCCCTTCACAACGTCCTCTACAGACTGCAAAATGGATGAAGGGATGCCGTGGTTCGTGACCAGGAACAAACCCCACTCACTGGCTCCTCTACCAAGCTTGGCTAGCTCTTGGACTCGAATCTCTTCTTTGGAGCCTATCATCAGTAAGTTGGCCATGTTGATAAACGGTGGCCCTGCTGAGACATCATCGCTAGACACAGCTGCAGGGGGTATTGGGTGCATCCTTAGGAACCTCTCCGGCACGCTGTTGAACCCCTGACGAACCAGTTCTTGGACCACGGGCACCTTGGATTTTCGCCGTCGACCATCTTGGCCAACGAAGCTCACTTCATGGAAGCAGCCCTTCTGTATCTCCATCTCTTCATTCTTGCAATCCATCGATCGATTCAGACGGTAACCATCACGATGACCACAACATAATCCTCCTTAATCCCCTTTTTGACCCAGAAATTAAACCTCGCGCATGTATCGGAGACTAACATATCCATCTCTACCCATGAATGTAGCGTGAGAGGAATCATGGGTCGGTTGGGTCATACAAAGATTGAATTTAGGCACTTGGGAATTTGTTAAAACATCTTGCACGCTTTCCACTGAAACTTCGAGGTTATTTCGCTTACTAGGATATGCCAGGCTACAAATTAGAACTTGAAAAGATTTCCACTTGGAAATCAGTCATTTAAAAACTAAATAAATAAATCTATAATTTCTCATCCTTGATTGCATGTCTTCAAGGTGTAAAATCAATATTTTCAAATGGTCGTTGATCCGGATGGCCGGATTATTCCGCGTAGGAACCGTTTAGACAATTAGTTCTGTTTTACCTCAAATCCTTTTTTTGCTCAAAAATATTGAATTGGTTAATGATTCGTTCACTCATGAAATCGAATTATAGATTTATTTAATAGTTTTTTTACTATTTTTTATTTTAATTATTATTTTTAATTTTTTGTCAATAAATCATCCATTCGAACTAGATGGTCAAACAGTCAATCCAGAAACTGATGTTTAGAATGATTCCGAGTCGTTTTTAAAACATGGTATAAAAGAGGCCTAACTGGGACCAAGTGGAAAAGTAGATAGACGATGTTGATTAGATCAACAATTTTAGGGACGACCCAAAATCTGATGAATTATTTTAAAGGTAAATTATAGGCACCTCCCCTGTACTTTTGGGTATGAAATTTATCCCCCTCTAATATCTTTTTTTTAATATCAACCTTTGTACTTTTATATAAATGTATTTATATTATGAGTAAAACATCATCATCATTATCATCATCATCATTATTATTATTATTATTATTATTATTATTATTATTATTATTATTAGGATAGGGGTGCTCTTTCCATGCAGGAAATGAAATCTACTTGTACGAGTAGATTCCCACGTGAGAGCACCCAGTAATTACTGCCATATAAATAACAGTAATTACTGATTATTATAGTAATTTAATAAATATATAATTAGTGGTTATAATTAATAATTACTGTTATTATAATTATTGTTAATAACTAGATATTTACTTTAAAATTATAAATACTGTAATTAAAAAATACTATTAAAAAATTACTGATTATTATAGTAAATTAATAAATATATAATTAGTGATTATGATTAATAATTACTGTTATTATAAATATTGTTAATAAATAGATATTTACTTTAATTTTACTTTAAATTAAAATTATAAATATTGTTATTAATAAATACTGTTAATAGATTTAGTAATTATTGTTATATTAAAAATAATTAAGAATGTTATTAAAAGTGTTGTTATGGATTATTTAATAAAATATTATAATTACCGACTATTACTAATAAATACTGTTAATTTAATTTAATTTTGGCAATTATTAATTTAATGAATATTGTCAATAAATCCTATTCATAAATTTAATATTTATTGTTATATTAAAAATAACTAAATAATATTATTAAAACTATCATTAATGATTATTTAATTAAATAGTATAATTACTTACTATTATTGATAAATGTTGTTAATAACGTTCTGACAACTGACGGTTCGACCGTCCAGTTCGAACGGATGACCCGTTCTGACAACAAAAGTTACAAGCAAAAAATTACGAAAGCTTTCTAGCCACCAGTTTTCGAGTCAACGGTTCGATCATCCAGTTCGAACGAAAATATTTTGGCTACCAGTTTTCGGGTTGACAATTTGAATAGACGGCTTGTTTTGACAATAAAAAAAAAAAACTGCCAAAACCATTGAATGGGTTAACGGGTTAACGGTTTGACCACTCGGGTCAATGGGTCGTTAACCGATTCAACGGTTTTTGGCCAGGGGCCGGGATTGTTGTAAAATAGTACTGGTTTCCTGAACGGTTCCCAATTAAAAAAAAATAAAAAACGGGCGACCCGTTTTGACAAAAAAAAATTACAAGCAAAAAATTGAGTATGTGAGGTCCATTAAGCAGTCATTCGAGCGTGTGACTCATACAACCTGAAGACGGAACCGTTCTGGCCACCGGTTTTCAGGTCAACGGTTCGACTGTTTGGTTCGAACAGATGGCCTGTTCTGACAACAAAATTAAAAAATGACAAAAACCATTGAACTGGTCAATAGTTCGATCGCCTGGGTCAATGGATCATTGATTGATTCAACGATTTTGTGCCAGGGATCGAAATTAGGATAAAACGGAATCGGTTGCCTGGAAGGTTTCTGATGAAGGGTGATTTGGCCCAACCTAGTAAAAAGGGGACACACGGACACGACCTCACTAAGAGATGACAGCTCAGCCTGACATGCTTACTTCGCAACAGTTGAGCTCGGATATTCAACCACCTCAGCACAGGGTCACTTCGGGACAAGGTCACCTCGGGACAGGGTCACCTCGGCCCCAAGGCACTTCGGCATTCAATCCAGTTTGGAACTAAAAGGTATAAGCTCGGGGATACTGACCCGGACCACTACGTGACGATCCCGAAAATCTCCCCAACAGACTCCGAACCTCACGGGATCATGCCGCGTAACGGAAAGCCTTATCTCCTACCCGCCCGGTTCGGGTGGAATTGATAAGATTTATTAGTTGGTAGCGTTATCTCCCAATTAAAGCGGAAACGGATCCCATCATGACGAAGATCCCGGAACCGATCCGCAAAACCCGCGAGGACCTAACTATATAAAGGCTCCAACCCCGAAGGCACAAAGTACGCGTGATTTTTCTGCTCTCTAGCTCTCTAAGCTATCAATGCTCTTCAGCTCGCATCAGATTACTAACTTAAGCACCAGAGCGATCTCACCGGGTTAGCCACCCCGGGTTCTCTGATCCTTTCTTATAGATTCACTTAGCTCACCGTCTGACTAGAAGTTAGATCACCCTCCAATAGGGAGCAATCAGATCGCGCTACATCCATTGGCGTCGTCTGTGGGAAGTCGATCAAAAAGCCTTCTTCACAATCAACAACTTTCCATTGAAATCTTCTAGTCACGCCAGACAGAGCAGTGAGATGAATGTCTCTCAGGGGCAACCTCAGCTTCCTTTAGTGTGCATTGGCCAGTTCACCATACCGCTTACTACGGCTAGAGTCCCAACACTGACCATGCCACAAAACACCACACAGGTGAACACCCCACTCCCTCCAGTGGTAGGCACAACCTTCGCTGAGCCATCTGTGGTTCCCCCCGGAGTCGAACAACGTCAGTTCAAAGACCTGGTACACTGCATGCGAGCCATCTAGGTCCAAATGCAGCAGGTCATGCAGTTCCAACGATACATGTTCTACCTGCACTACCAGCATCAGTTCCCCCTACTGTCAAAGAGCCAACAGCCGGTTCCACCCAGACACCCAGGGACTAAGCAGAACCAGAATCGACCTCGCGCGAACCAGAACATCACTCACCGAGGCGAAGACTTCCCAAGTCCTAGTTTCTCCCAGGAGTCAAGTCTCACCCCGCGGGAGGAAAGACGGTTACATCATTCCACCTGCTTCACAAGGCAACCTCGAAAATAGGTCTGGGGACAGTCAGCCCAACATGGTCACTCTTCCTCGGCGTTCGCATCAAGAAGGATCGCTCGCAGAAAACCGGTTTGGGGTTCTAGGCACGAACTCAAGGTAAGGCCCCTCCATCCACGATAGTCAGCCCTAGAACTCCACAAGGAACCAGGAGCTACCTCGCGGCAGAATAGTACCAGAGCATACCGAGGTTAGCAGCACCAATGCAGAACCATTAAAGAAGCAGCAACGAAGGCGTCGCAAGGCACGCCAAACTTCAGTACAGAACAACCAGCTCACGAGACCGAACCAGCAAGAACAGATGAAAGGTAAAGAGGAGGGTAGCTCGGTAGCTACAAAGACCGCTCCTCTACTCTCTGGGTCGTCCCCTCTGTCTTCCGAGCTCTTGGGGACCTCGATGCCCAAGGACTTCAAGATGCCTCCCTTGGATAAGTATGATGGATCTTTGGATCCTAATGATCACGTGGATTCCTTGCAGTCCTAGATGCACCTAGCTAGGGCTGACAAGTCCTGCATGTGTGTAGCTTTTTCCACCACCTTCAAGGGAGAAGCTTGGACTTGGTACCGGAACCTCGCACCAGGATCAATCAAGAGTTGGGCGCAGTTCATGGAATTATTTACCTTGCACTTCATCACCAGCAAGAAGTGCCCGAGGTCGCAGGAGAATCTGTTTAACGTAGTTCAAAGAGAAGTGGAGTCCATCAGGAGATACATCAAGCGGTTCAATGACACCTGCCTGCTGATCCCTGACCTAGACCTAGCGATGATACTCACGATAGCCAAAAAGGGCATAACTCACAGAGAATTCAAATGGCATGTGGTGGCCAATAAACTGAAAGACATCACAAAATTCCTCAAGCTCGTCGACCAGTTCATCGAAACCGAGGAAGAGATGAATCAAAAGATAGACAACCTAGAAGAGAAAAGAAAAAGAGATGGTGACAACATAGGTAATGACGGGAATAATAGAAGAAAGAGTAAGTCCCCGACCAGGGGAGGAAACAAGTTTGGGAGCCGATCTCCTTCGCGACCTCACAAGTCAAGTCAACGCTCTAGGACCCCACCTATTGAAAGGACGAACTACACACCCCCTAAACGCTAAGCGAGGAGAAATCCTAATGGCCATCGAAGACTCTTCCTTTGTCAAGTGGCCTCCTAGGTTGAGGGGAGATCCCACCACCAAAACTGTAGGAACCTCCGCGACGAGATCGAGGAGCTCATCCGTTGCGAGCATCTGAAAAATTTCATACAGAGAGAAGAAAGAAGCCAGGCAGATCGGCAAACAGACCGGTAGGAGACCCAAATAAGGAATGCTCCCGAGTCCAATAACAAGCAGAACGAGCAGCCGCGACGGTAGTTGGCCGAAGAGAGACCGATCTGTGTGGTAATCAATATGATTACTGGTGGGTCCATCATCGCGGGGTGCACTTCGGCAACAGGACAAAGTTCAATCCGTGAACTAAAAAGCGAGGAGCAGAACCCGCCGAAGTGACCTTGACTTGAAGACCCGATTTACTTCACGGAGGATGACGCGTGCGGGATCCAGTATCCTCATGTTGACACGCTGGTGATAAAGCTAAGGCTAAACAACTTCGAAGTCAAGCACATCCTTGTGGACTCGGGTAACTCGGCGGACATATTATTCAAAGACACATTCGACAAGTTGCAACTCCAGGAAAATGACCTAA